GGAAAGAGTTTATGAGCTGATCGTGGTTGTCTCCAAGGGTGACACCAACACCCAAACACTTTTAAGTGTATGTATGAAGGTGACTTCCCGTAAGTTTTGATAGGGGCTAATTTGATTAGTTGTTCGGGTAGGCATTCTATTTATGAGATATATTGCTGTTTGAAGAGCCTCATCTCATAGAGTATAGGGTTGTTGGGCATCATTTATCAAATTTCTAGTGGTCTCTATAATGTTTCTATGTTTCTGCTCAACTACATCGTTTTGCTAGAGTTCAAGGACAAGAATATTGATGGATAATTCTCTTCTCTTTCAAGAAATTGTTGAGCACCATGCTAGAGTATTCCCCACCCCTATCAAATCTCAAAATTTTGATTCTAGTATTAACTTAGGAGCGCACAGTGTTTATGAACATTTTGATTTTATTATTTATTTTAAATTTATGATACATAGGAAGGACCCAGCGAAATGGTGACAAATCATCTATGAAAGCAATGTAATATCTATATCCTTTGTGGGACATGATTGGGGAGGGGGACCCTACACATTGGTATGAATCAACTCTAAATATTTATAGTGATGATTTTCAAACAACTTAATGGTTGTTTATGACTCTTGTTTAAATTGCAAGACACGCACGACTAAAATTAAGAAGGAATCTTGAGAGATGGTGGAATCAATTTCCAAGTGAGGACGACCTAATGTTTTGTGCCCAAGAACAGCAACATTTAATCTTATGGTTGAAGCCACAAGAGCTTGATGATTTTGCTGAAAACAACCGAATGAGAGCCTTGGAGCTCGGCCCTTTGAGAAGAGCTTGCTGATTCTGTGAGTCAGAAATAGAAAAGTCAAACAAAACAAATGAAACAATTACATTATTATCTTTAGTTATCCTTTGAATTGAGAATAAATTATGGGATAAAGAGGTAGCATGATAGATATGTGATAGTTTAAGATTATGATGAGGTGTGGGGAGAATCTCATCAAACATATGCTGAATCAGAACAACTTTTCCGTTACCAACCACAACTTATTAAGTGCCATGATAAGGTTTAGCTATTTAAAGTTTGACTCATGTTTGCCATGAGATGGGTTGTTACACCTGACTCCAACACCCATTCCTAAGAGTTAGCAATGAGAAATTTTGGTGGTATGGTCGGAGTATAGTCTAGATTCGTCCGATGCCAACATCAGGAAGCGGAGTCGGATCTTGTTACAAATTTGACACACAATGATTACCCTAGTGCTTTGTTTGTTTTTCTTTGAGGTCGCAGTTAAAGCCCCTTTCAGAGGGAACATGTTTCCTCTGCCGCATCCCTTCATTCTGATGTTACCACTACTCTAGTGATCGAAAATGCCATCTGATTATCATTTGCCACGTCTTTGGATCTTTCATTTGCCAAAGTGGATTTCTTCGCTACAAAGAATGAAATAGAGATCATCTAAGCTGAGGGGATGAAGTTTAGTGCGAATAGCTGTTTTAAAGGCTTGATATGCAGATGACAAGCCATTGAGAGTGTAGGGCAGGACGTCCTCTTGATTAATATTGGAACCAGCCGTTGTAATGCTGTCCACAAGCAGCTTAATCTCCGATAGGTATTGTGTCATTGTGTTGTGCTTCATCGAGATATGGTGTAATTCATTTTTAAGTTGAGTTACTCTTGATCAATTTGAGAGTTGAAGCCATTTCTGAGGAGTTAGCCAAATTTTAATGGAGGTTTGGAGATTTAGCACATAAGGGAGGATAGCAGCATATATAGTACAGTACAAGGCAGCTGATAGATTTTGGTCCAAGGAAATCCAAGTGGTATGTTGGGGATTGGGAACAACCAAACCACGATTGTGTGGAAGAATTTTTGGAGGGCAGCTATGACTTCAATCAAGGAACAAATAAAATCCCTTGGCTTCAAATATCTTGAGAATCTGAGCCCGCCATATAGGATAATTTTCATTTATCAGGTGATTGAGAGCTAGTTGCTTGATATTAGATATCAAGAATTTCCAGGAAGAAGGGATATTGTATGTATGAAAGCCCCCAAATCTTGGAAGACTTCGGCATGACAGAAAGAAAAGACTCACCGACAGCCCTTAACCCTAAAAATCTAGAGCCTAGGAAAAGAAAAGAAGAGAACAAAAAATGAAGCGAATCTTTAATAGGTTGGACTGATGTCACCTGATGCTTGTGATCAAAACAGTGTCCTTGCCACCGAGCGAGGAGAATAAGATTGCAGGGACACCATGTTCTTGACAAGAGGAACTGAGATGTAAAAAGTGAGACGGGAGAAAAGAGAATAGTGTCGGAGGCTTGAACGAAGAGACAAGAGGAAGTCGAAGAACCTGCAAGAATTTACTCGCGGGCTCAGCCACCGGAACGGGACAGTCTCTGATACCATAAATACATATAAATAACAAATAAATATTAAAACTAATCACAAATGTACAGTTGGTGCTATATATAGACTGCAAGACAGCTATGAAAGGCCTACACAAAACCCAAAGCTAGATACCTTAGACAACATACTTTATAATCTATTTATCACAATCTTCAGCTAAGTTCTCATTCCTATTACACACCACCACCTCTTTTGTTTTCCCTCGCAGTCTCATCATCACTGCCACCGTTGTCACATGCATGGCTCATGCAATATTCTATTTTGTATTTAAAATATCATCCCCATCCCGATCTTGTTGTTTTGTCACCATTATATGTATATGGAGATTCTTGAATCGTAAATCTTGATGTTCTTGATAAAATGTCCAAAAACTGGTTCCGAATCAGTAAGATTTATTTATGATATTGTCAAATAGTTTTTATCTAGAAGATGGGAAATCTTTTTTCATGAACAGACTTTTCAATGAGTTGGCTCAGCCTTTCAAAGACAATATGTTGAACTTTTCATTGGCTTTTTTTTGATAAATATTGTAACATTTCAAATATGATTAAGTTAATTCTTAAACATACATACCGTTTTATTATCAGGTTGCTTTCCTTAAAGCAAGGAAAGGATTTATAAGGATAGCAATGGAGACCGGTCGACCTCTCGTTCCTGTTTTCTGTTTTGGCCAGGTAAAGATTCCTATAACTAAACCCTAATGAACCAAGAATGCTATGAAATTATGCAATTATTGGAGTTTGTAACCTAGAAATTCTAATTATTGCAGTCCGCTTAGCAATTCTATCTATAATTACAGATATACATGACATTGTAATTGTTTTTTGATTAGTTTTTCAAGGAATGTGAACTTTAGTTTTATTCTTTATTGGTTGCAGTCTAAAGTCTATAAGTGGCGGAAGCTGAGTGGCAAATTATTTAACCAGATTGCCCGGGTAGTCATGTTTGCTCCAATCATCTTCTGGGGAAGATTTGGGTACCCCAAATATTTTATTTTAAGTTCTGCTATTATAATATTTTTATAGGAAATTTTATTTATTTTTTTGATTCATTATTATTATTATTATTATTATTATTATTATTATTATTATTATTATTATTATTATTATTATTATTATTATTATTCAGGTCACCCATCCCATTTAGAGAACCAATGGACATTGTGGTGGGAAGACCCATCGAGGTTAAGAAAAATCCACAACCCTCCGTCGATGAGGTATTGAACTTCTTAAGGTTCCTTCTATTTATTTACTTTAAAATGGTATCATTTCATCTTGGACGATTTAATCAAAAGCCTTTAATTTTGACATGCTGAAAATGATCTTTACTAATTACAAAAAAAAAATTATATTATGGCTAAATAAGATTTATCTCAAAGTATATTTATGTGTAATTATATACTAAGTCATAACTAAATCTGGTTTGATGAACCTTATGTCAAGCACATGGTTAATCGTGTCAATTCCTTATGGCATTTGAACCACAATTTAAATTTGTCCATTAGTTAACTAAGGCTATTGCTAGTTGTTACCATAGAAGAAAATATTAAATGATATTATTTTTAAAACATTTTTTGGGTAATGCTATCGTTATAACGGCATGTGATGATGAGTTATGCCCATTAGGACAATATTTTGTTAAATAGTAATTAAATTTGAGGAGTACTGAATGTCACTTTGTTAATTTAATTCTGAAAAAAATAGCTCCAGAATTCAAAATTGCATTTTTTATTTCTTGCTGATTCATAGATAAATGAAGTGCAAGAACAGTTTATTTCGGCCATGGAAGATCTCTTTGAGAGGAACAAAGCTAAAGTTGGATACCCAAACCTTAAGCTGAGAGTTCTCTGAATTATCAGCGCTGCAACAATGTCATGAGCAAATTATGGCAACTTGTTTTAGTTTACTTGGTAAAATTTCAAGAGAATGTGTTGGTATTCACAAATATCATCTCACGTCTGTTCTGCAAACAATCAGACTTCAATTACTCTGTATGAATTTGAACCCTGATAATGAGTTTCTCTACATATATTCCTAATTCTTAATTTCATATTTTTCTATCAATTTGGTTCTTTGGTTATTTTTTAAGACTATTGTTAGAATCTGTCACCCCAATTCTATTGGATTTGATCAAAGAGTTTTCGTTGAAGCAATATATGGCGCAACCAAAATTATGGGAAAAAGTCTTTTATCTGTTTTGGGTTGGTTGTATATATATATATATATATATATATATATACAAAGATGGTTGCCGGCGGAACCACCAACCACTCGCAACCCATTAGGTCTGGGCTGGACCAATGCGCCTAACCACTCGAGTATCACCCCCATAAAGCAAACAACTCGCCTGGGAGAGATTCGAATCCTAGTCCAGAGAAGACTTACACCGTCAAACCTCAGTCCAAAGGTGACTTGCATATATACAACCTCCGCCGTTGAATACTAAGTTCTCCGCTTTGTAATTTCCTTCAAGCATGATTAAGTTTCTTCTCCTGTACTCGTGATTTTTCACATAAAGCCTTGCATTATTCCCTTTGCTTCTTTTGCTGTGCATTTTTCTACTTTCATAAAATCTATTTTCTATTTTCCATGTTTAATTTTTTCTTTTTTAAGAATATATCATTGAGTAATTACAGTTCCTCTTACCTCATTGCTATATATATGGCCTCTAGGCTTTGACAATGCTTCAATTAAGTTAAAAGGTTTTCTGTAACATGTTAAATGGTCACATCAAATGTGGCGAGAGAGGAACAAAATCTTACTTTTCCATCCTGATAAGTGATCTTAGCGCTTGTGCTGGCCTTTTCCTCCACCGGCTTCCAATTGGCGCATTTTAGGTGAATAAAACTTAGATTAGACTTGCGGAGTTTCCTTTACAAATGTCAGAATGGGTAGGAAATTTATCCGAATTGGATCAGATATATCAAAAACAACTGCTTGATTTGAGGTTATCTTCATAGCAACGTCAGTTAGATAACTCTGTTATTGATTCAATAACTTAATTTATTAATTGCATTTGTTTGTTTGGGCCAGTATTATTTTACTTAAAACGGTCAATGGTAATTATTATTATTATTATTGTTATTATTTATTTTATGTTGATTATAAAAATAGGACTCTTGTATTATCTATAAAATTGTTATTTGAAGACCACGTTAATCCTAATCAAATTGTTAACCTTTATTAAAAACATAATATAAAATGAGAGCTCTCAACCATTCAAAAAACCATACATAGCCGCTTATTTTTTGAGTTAATTTTAAGTTGTCGATGCATCATTGTCAAAATGCTAGATGTCAATGATGAAAGGGAGGGTTAGGGTGGCTCGTCTTTAATAAGTAATTGAGAGCACACGGCTTGAAGGCCTATACCATTGGATTAATCTTATAATAGCTTTTAAATTGCAATGTGTGCTCTTGCTTTATTGGCATCACTCGAGAGTATTTTCTTTATAAAGATTTTATAGAAGTATATGTTGAGGAAGGTGGAGACCCGGTCCACTTCCTATTACGGCAGATTCATAGAAATCATTTAAAAAATTGATTCTAATTTATTCTGCTCTTAATTGGGAATTTCTCCTAATAGGCAGCTTTTGATTAAATTAATCTAATTTAATCATTTCCTGTTAAAGCTTCGCATAAGGATCCCGCTGACCCCGCCTTCTTCGGAATTCACAAATAAGGATTTATAATTTCCTTGTTCTGGGCCTCCTAAATATGGTTAATTGAGCTGATAATAGAAAATATGTAATTTAACTGATAAATTAGATTTCTTCCCAGCTGTGGCGTCACATGGCTTCCAAAACCGGGCTTCTTCTTTATTGGGCTGAATAGGAAGAGTTATATATATGGATGCTGGAAGTAATCGGATGTGTCATGTGTGTGCCTCTACTCCTGTTTTCTTCTACTTGGTTGGTTCACGACAAGGAAGAAGGAAGTGCAAAGCATTGCATGTTTTTCTTTCTCTCCGTATTGTTCTGGTGGTTTTTTCGGTTAGAGAGAAAGAGAGAGGAGGAGAGAGAATTCTTTCTTATAAGTCGACGTGGTCGACGGTGTAATCCTCAAAGCTAATAAAATCCTCTGCAACTCCGAGGACGTAGGCAATTTGCTTAACCACGTAAATCTTGTGTCGCCTTTTTGGGTGTAATTTTCTTGATCTGTTTTTTTCGTTTTATTGTCGTCGTCAATTTTTCATAATAATTGGTATCAGAGCCCCAGTTCGGATTTGAGGAAGAACGATGGCCGAAGACGAAGTGAAGGTTTCAGGGATCGAGAAGTTCGACGATACGGATTTTGGATACTGGAGGATGCAGATAGAGGATTACGTATATGAGAAGAAACTTCATCTTCCGTTATTGGGAAAACGACCGGAGAAGATGGAAGAGGCTGATTGGAATCTGTTGGATTGACAGTTTCTGGGGGTTATTCGATTAACCCTATCGAGGTTCGTTGCTCACAATGTCATAAAGGAGAGGACAACGACAGATCTTATGGCGGCCCTATCAAGTATGTATGAAAAGCCATCAGCGAATAACAAGGTGCACTTGATGAAAAAGTTATTCAACCTGAAGATGGCGGAAGGTGTGTCGGTTGTTCAACATTTGAATGATTTCAATACTATTACAAATCAATTATCGTCCATTGAAATTGATTTTGACGATGAGATACATGCGCTGATATTGTTGGCTTCATTGCTAAATAGTTGGGAAGCCATGAGAATGACAAAAGCCATGAGGATGACAATTAACAACTCTGCAGGTAAAACCAAATTGAAATATGATGATATTTGTGACTTGATTCTTGCTGAAGAGGTGCGCAGGAAAGATTATGGCGAGATCTCAGGTTCGAGTTCAGCACTGAATGTTGATTCCAGAGGGAGATCACAAGATAGGAACTCAAACAGAGGAAGGTCGAAATCAAAGCATAGAAGCAAGAGCAAGTCAAAGCCTGGTCAGCAAGCAACCTGCTGGAATTGTGGCAAAACTGGTCACATAAAGAAGAACTGTAAAAATCCTAAGAAGACGGAGAACATCAGTGCTAACGCTGTAACTGAAGAAGTGCAGGATGCGCTATTACTTGCAGTTCATAACTCTGTTGACGACTGGATACTGGACTCGGGGGCTTCTTTTCACACATCTTCTCCCCGGGAGTTAATGAGAAACTATGTTTCAGGTGACTTTGGGAAAGTGTACCTGGCTGATGGAGCAACTTTGAACGTGGTGGGGGATGCGAGATGTTGAAATTGCACTCCCTAACAGAAACAAATGGATGCTGCAAAAGATTAGACACATTCCTGAACTGAAAAAGAACCTCATATCAGTTGGGCAGCTTGATGAGGGAGGTCATTCAATAGTGTTCTCTGATAACACCTGGAAGGTTACTAAAGGAGCACTGGTACTGACTCAGGATAAGAAGACTTGTACGCTATATATGACAACTAGTCTAATTAATAATGTTGATACCACAGTTGCAGAGAACACAACAGACATGTGGCATTGCAGACTTGGACACATGAGTCAGAGAGGTATGAAAGAGCTTCAGTCCAGAGGCAAGCTACCAGAACTGAACATGTGTGAAAGTTGCAAGTTGCATTATGGGGAAGCATAAGAATGTCAGTTTCCTGAAAGATGGCAGGGTGTCAAAGGCAGAAAAATTAGAACTGGTATACACTGATGTGTGGGGGTCTTCCCTAGTGGCATCTCTTGGAGGCTCTCGCTATTACGTCACATTCATAGATGACCACAACATAAATGTATGAGTTTAATGAGTTTATTTTTGAAGCATAAATCTGATGTATTTACTGTGTTGTTCAAAACTTGAAAGGCCATGGTTGAAACGGAGATAGATCTAAAACTGTAGATCTAAAACTCTGACAATGGTGGTGAGTACATCGATGGTGGGTTCAAGGAATATTGTGCAGCTCAAGGTATCAGAATGGAGAAGACTACTCCGGGGACACCACAACAAAATGGAGTTGCAGAACGCATGAATAAGACCATCAATGAGCGTGCTAGGAGCATGAGATTGCACGCAGGACTACCACCAACCTTCTGGGCAGATGCAGTCAGCACTGCAGTTTACCTGATCAACAGAGGGCCATCTATTCCATTAGACTGTAAATTACCCGAGGAGGCCTGGAGCGGCAAAGATGTCAAATTTTCTCATATTAAAACTTTTGGTTGTCTTTCTTATGTGCTAATCAATCCTGATGTATGTAGCAAGCTTGACGCTAAGTCAAAGAAATGTTATTTCATTGGTTATGGAGACAAAGCATTTGGTTATCGTTTCTGGGATGATCAGGATCAGAAGATTATCAGAAGCAGAAATGTGATTTTCAATGAGAAGATGATGTACAAAGACAAGGCTAATACAAATTCTGGAGTAGCTCCTTAGGAGTCAGATTTCATGGAGTTCGACGATCTACCAGAGGACACAGAGCAGGACAGAGATGGGAATGAGCAGGAGAATGGGTCCGAGGCACCCATTCCTATTATTCTGCAGGCATGTCAAGAGTCATTTACTACTCCAGCCGCCGTTCGTAGGTCAGTTAGGAGCAGGCATTCACCACAGCATTACTCACCTACTTTAAACTACATCTTGCTGACAGATAGTGGGGAACCACAGAGCTATGAAGAAACCTTAACAAATGAAAATTCTAGCAAGTGGGAGCTGGCCATGAAGAAGAAGATGGATTCCCTATTAGGAAACCAGACATGGGAGCTGACAGAACTTCCCCCAGGGAAGAAGACATTGCACAACAAGTGAGTGTACCGGGTAAAGACTGAGTCTGATGGCAGTAAAAGGTACAAGACCAGACTTGTTGCAAAAGGCTTCCAACAGAAGCAAGACATTGATTACTCTGAGATCTTTTCTCCTGTGGTAAAACTCACAATCATCAGGATGGTCCTGGCTATGGTTGCTACCGAAGATCTATTCCTGGAGCAATTATATGTGAAGACAACTTTTCTTCATGGAGACCTTGAAGAAGACATCTATATGCACCAGCCTGAAGGGTTCGTGGTACAAGGAAAAGAAGATTCTGTTTGTAGACTG